ATTATTATATTTAATATAATACAATAAAACTATTATTAAATAACATATTATATAACTATGATATAGAATATAATAATATTATTAAAATGATTAATATAATTACAATATTATAAAACATATTATAATATTACATAAAAAATAATAATAATTCAGTAATAATATAATTAAAAATTACAACCATATTATATTAATATATTATATAATGTAATATATTATAATAGATAATGATATTAGAATTATAAGATTATATTAATTATTATTATAAATATAATTATTTTAACACAATATAATATTATTATAAAATAATAATTATAATATCATATTATTAAAATAATTATAATATTATTATAATATCATAATATATGATAAAATAATAATATTAAAGTTATTAATATAATTATAATATTATTTGTTATAATATTACTATTATATTATATTATATTATATTACGAGTCTGAATTTTAGATTGGAAAGATTATAAATTTTAAACTTCATTAGGGGTATTATAGGTATTATGAAAGTTTTATTAATTGTATTATGCTGATTCCCGCACAATCTAAAAGCTGAAGTTGTCTTTATGCTGCTTCTGATTTTGGCGGTAGATTCTTAAAAAATTCCTCAAAAAGCACTTATAAGGAGATTTACTAAACACTAAAATTAACTTCAATTACAAGCAGAAGCTGATTTTGATAGAAAAAAGCAATACCAAACTAAGCCATTATCCGGTTTGTATACTAAATTATATATTTAAATATATATTAAAAAAAACTTTCAGATAAGTATACAAGTATTCCACAAAATGAAATATGTCTTATTATAGGAAACCGTAGTTCTCGTAGCGGTGGAAATATTTCCGTTGCTATCACGGCCTTTAAGCAATTGGTATAAGAGAGATGAACTCTGAATTGCGCGTAGAACAAAAGGCCAAGACAGCAACAAAATGCTCCTCCATTTTATTCAGAACAATACAGTAGTATAAAGATCACACGATATATACTTTATAAGAAGCTCGGCAATGGTAGCGATTGGATCCAATATTGAAAGTTGGTATCATCCTCTGGCTGGAACATATAACTCTGACCATAAAACTCAGAGACAGAGTCAAGTGGTGCAGGATTAAGTCTCGGAGATAAAGTATCACCATCTTTAACCCTAAGTCTCTTCGGAGCTTGAAATGTTCCTTCTTCATGGTACTCTATTTCTGTCTTGTCGGCTTCTGAATCGGATTCGCATTCCTTTGGCAGCTTTGACTCTGAATTGTCCTCAGAAAGAGATGGCATGGATATGAGACTACCATTAGACTTGCTAGGAATATTTGTACTGCTTGCTTTCTTAATGTTGGTGTGCTTTCCTTTTGTGATTCTCTGGAGGTACCTTCCTTGGGCTTCCATTTTTTGCTTCAGGCTCTTCTGCATCTGAAGTATAATTTACAAAACATGTTAAAGACTATCCTCTAGAACACACACATATATAATTGTTGAGCTGCCGCATATATACGGTACTCATCACCGTTGATGCTCTATAGTATTTTAACGATGTGTATAAATATACTTTTTACAATGATATACATAAACATAGATATATATATATATATATATACATGGCTATTACTGCTCATGTATTGTTCTTTCGGCCATATCTTTAATAGGGATTGGTTACACCTACGATTGAATCTTGTATCAATCATTATGGTCAGGACCATTCGGAGGAAGCTCCTTGACTTGGACAGGACATTTAGTGGGCATTGCTATATATTCTTAGATCTAGGGAGAATATGTTCGATGGAATAATTTTTTCAACGTATTGTCGCATCCCCAACTCCAAGGAGTAGGCCAACTTATTACAGATCAGTGTAATCTTTATGCTCAAAACCAAAACTCTATATTAAGTGGTCGTTTATTTGGTATACCTTCCCAAGGAGCAGAATACCCCCACTGGGGACTGACATTAATTCATAGAAAGCTAATATTGGAGTATCAATTATGAATGAAAATAAGAATCAATCATAACCTATTAGAAACTGGAAAGTACGTATAACCTTATTTTTTTTTTTTTTTTTTTTTTTTTTGAAAGGCGTATAATAAACTTGGTTAACGAAATATTGTGTACCTTATAAATGCGGAAAGCACGTATTAATGAAAGAAATTACAGTATATTGATATGTAGAAAGGACTTTCTTTATTAATCTTTTTCAAAATATTTTCCCTAGCTATTTTTCGTACTAGGAATTTAGAGAATATACCTCAAGCTGATCGTTCAGTTGCCTTTGCACTTCCATCTGCATTTCTAAGGCTTCTTCGAGTTGTGCAGCACTACAAAAGCATTGAAACCACACACAACACAACTTGAAACATAGATGAAGCTCCAACATAGTTTCCATAAAAAATAATGACCCAACAATATTTTATAGAAAATTATTGACAATGAAACGAAAAACATCCAAGGAAAGGGACGAAAGACATTGAGTACTCACGATGTCGTACTGAAATTTGGCAATATTTCTGACATATTTTTCTTCTCAAACTTCCCTCCTGAGGGAAAAAAAAAGGAATTAAACTTGCCTATAAGATAGTGCAGATATTTACACTAGAGAAGCTATCATAGTGACCATCAATATTAGCATATTTAATTTGAATCTGAAATGTGAAATTTCTAGAGTTGAGGCTACTTACTGCTGTTTGATTCCGGAATAAAGTTTGCAATCCTGTACTTCTGAAATATTGCAAAGGAAAAGTACTTAGCATTACATGAATGAAAAATTAAAACAAAGAGTACGCCCAACGAATAAATTTTTTTACAAGATATACATATGTATATATATAGTTGTTGATATATTAATTAATCAATCATATATATACACAAGTTTTCAAAATATTTTTTTTTTTTTTTTTGTCGCTTTCAAAAATAAGATGAACAAGTACTTGTCCGGCCCATTGAATTTCATTTTAATGAAGTAGCTTTAAAACTGTAATTAACAACAATCATGGAAGTGGTGTAACCCAACCCCCCTCCCCAAATCCACCAAACAACAACAACAAAAAAACAAAAACAAAAGCAAAACAAAAAAGTAAATTGAAATTTTGAAAAAAAAAATGGAAACAAGATCATGGCTAAAGATACTTATATAAGTTTGTCTCAATTAAGTTTACTCCATACCAATTTTGATAACCCATTCGTTTGATTCTATATTTTCATCAACATCTCTGATGAATAACAATAACACTCATTTAGTTTTTCTCTCAACTGGAGTCCCTAAAAACAATAGATATGTGTGCGCGCGTTATTTTATTGTGGAATTAATATTTTCACTCACCGACAAAGTAAATATAATTTTCAAACAACTAACACCATGACGTACGTCATACTCAACTATTAGTACTGTTCTCCCATTGGTTTAGTTACAAGAAAACTGCTTATTATTCTTTATCAGAAAAACATATTGTTGTTCAGCTAATTGATGATACGAAATTAATTAGCGTATTGTTGTTCAGTTTGATGGTGCGCAATTAATTAGCTTACTATTGTCTTGATCATGGGCAACAATTAAAACTGATCTGTGAGAATATATAACGTCAACAATATATTGACCGTCGGAGTTTACCATATATCCTTCCATGACAAATCCTAAAGTTTTCGCTCTTTTTGGTAGCGTAAAGCTAAAATATTTGTTATCTCGATAATATATTGTTTATGATATATACACAATTACATATCGATATCAATAAAGAACAAAGACTTTGAATGAAATTTGTGATCATCTCATAGCGAACAAATCTCGCCTGCAGAATAAAGCTTATAGAATATATTTACAGATCAACTCTTAAGGGAAGAAAAAGAGAGAATTTTATTAGATCAAGCGTAAGACTTTTCCTATCAAGCAATTTCCATCTCTATAGCTAGCTAGCTCTAAACACTAATCAGATCCTAACACAACTGGATTGGCCTAGTAGTATACGTACGGAAGTTCAAAAGATGGATGGATCAAAATATATATAGTTTTTTTTTGGAGGATCAAAATATAATATTAACCATTAACAGAGAAAAAAGAAAGAAATTTGAACATCAAACAAATATAAAGTACTAATGAGTACGTAGCCCTTTTGCATACACATAGCTTATTTCAATCAAAACCCTACACTAAACAAACATGTAATGGATTATATATAAAGAGAACCTGCAAGTGGCTTTTAACATGAAAGATAGTCAAGCCAGGAATGCTCATGGCCTTCAAGATTCCCTTTGGTGTTGCCACTGCGAAGCAAAAAACACATGAAATAACATGAAATAAAACATGTATATATATATATATATGTATATGTATATGTATATGATAGATCCAAATGAATCACTCATGTTTATTAACCTCAACGAAGAAAGATATACTTACTATCAGGTCCCCCAAGCCTAGTAACTGCCTCCACGAAGCGATCATGTAGTTCTTGTGTCCAACGAAGGCGTTCTTTCCCACAACCATGATCTGACCCACTCCAACCCATTTTTGCACGAGCAACAAGTTTGAAAGGGGAAGAAAAATGGTAGACGGACAAAGTAAAGACAAATACACTTGGAGACAAAAAAAAAAAATTAAATTTCCCTTAAATAAAACCTTTTAAAAAGAATTTCAAGGTGGTGATGTGCTCTATGGTACTGGACTTTCTAGGTTTTGGATTCCACAAGCTGTCTCTAATTGACTGTCTTTAGCTGTCGGAATAAACTAGGTGTTCCCATTAAGAGTCCAAAAAACAAATATTAACATGCTTAAAAAAAAAAAAACTAGTTATAAGTTTCTGTGGATAAATAATTTTTACGTAATAATCAAGGATTTCAAAGTTTACAGGTAAATTTGTTATCGATTAAGATGTACATGTTATTGCTTGAGCCGATCTCTAAAACTTTTGGACTAGATAAATCCATTTGACGTATGACTTCCTTTTTTTTTATTTAGTATAACTTGTAAAATAAAAATTTGATTTGTAGTAAATGTTGAGGCAGTAAATAGCATAGTTATTTTCGTTAGTAAATGGTGCGATTTTTCTTTTTTTTTTTTATTCTTTTACAAACTAATTTCTGATTTTAAAAGTCCAACTCTAACTCTATCCCATCTCTATCTCCTCTGTTCTGCCGCCACCAGAACTCACGCCCTAGGGTGTCGGAGATGGGCTCAATACTCCTGGCATGAAGTCGCTGAATCTATTCTTCGTCGAGATCGAGGATAGATAGCTGTTGGTGATGCGCGTGCATTGAAGTGACCCAAGATCTCCTTTCTGTCGATGTGAGATTGGAGATTTTCAATGGTGATCTTCATCTCGCGATGTGTATCGTCAGTCAGGGAACGATGCTGGTGCCGGTGCTGGCATCGACAGAAGAGAGAAGAGAGGGACAGATCGAAGAGAGAGATAGAGAGTGATAGATGGAGGGGAGAGATGGAAAGCATGGAAATGAATCTGGTTATAAAAAGGGTTTTTTTTTTTATTAATTACGAAAATTCCTCTTCAATTATACCCATATAACACTTTACTTCCTAATATTTTCTTTTTAAAAAATGAAATGTTAACAAAAAACTCCCTCTGTTAAGCTTTTTTAAAGGAAATTGACATTGAATTTGTTATTTTGAGTATTTAGTAGCCTTGTATTTAAAATTTTAATTTGAATTTAAAATTAATTTAAATTTGAACTTTTAATTATGATAAATCCATTATTGATTAAATGTAAGTTAAAGATTTCATGATTTTTTTTAGTAGAATAAAAAACTTTATGAGATTTTTAAAAAAAAATTTAAATTAGTTTAGATTTAAATTAAATTTTAAACTATAAGATTATCAAAATACTCTCAAAATAGTAAATTAAATGTCAATTTTAGTTAAAAACCTAACGGAGATGGTTTTTTTTTGTTAATATTTTGTTATTCAGGGTGAACAGATATTATGTTTTAAATATCATGGGTAAAGTGTTATGGGAGGTATAATTAGTATTTTGCGATTTAAACTAATGTAATATTTTATTAGCAAAAAAACTAAAATGTGATTTAAACTAATCTAATATTTGATTAGCAAAACAAACTAAAATGTGATTTAAACTAATCTAATATTTGCTTAGCAAAAAAAACTAATCTAATATTTTTTATACTTTTTTTAACAACTGCTATTAATTTTTGAGAAAATTTATGATATAATATATGATTTTTAGGAATTAATGCAATAAGCGGCACCATTTTTTAATGAATATTTTATTTTTTATTTTTCTTCTTTATTTTCATCTTTAAAAAATATAATAAAATAAAAACGACGTCAAAAAATAATAAAATTTCAGCGACATGATCCTTAGGCGTGCCAGACAAAAATGGCCACAAAAAATGACAAAAAAAGTAAAACACTGTTAAAAAGCCCCCGGCCCACGTAGTGGGGCAACCAAGGGCCAGCTTAGGCGCCGGGATGGGTTAAAAATTTTTATTTTTATTTATCGTTTGCATTCTAAAATTCATAAATGATTTTTAGGAATTAGTGCAACAAGCGAAACAATTTTTTGATGAATATTCTATTTTTTATGATTTTCTTTATTTTTCAACTTCTAAAAACAAAATAAAATAAAAATGACGTCAAAAAATAATGAAATTTTACAGACATGATCCTCACATTTTTCTAGCTATGCCAAAAAAAAGACCTTAAAAATGACAAAAAAATATAAAATGCTGTCAAAAAACCGCTGACTCGCGTAGTGGGGCGCCCAGGGGCCAACTCAGGGGCCGTGATGGATCAAAAATTTATATTTTTATTTATGTCTTGCATTCTAAAATTAATATATGATTTTTAAGAATTAGTGCAACAAGCGGCACTATTTGTTTATGAATATTCTATTTTTTTTATGATTTTTCGTTACTTTTCATCTTAAAAAAATATAATCAAATAAAACGACGTAAGCCACTCTCTCAACGACTCGTTTGGCTTCTGGTATAGCGTCGTTAGATTCTGCTTTGGGAGGACATATTTTTTAACCCCTATGAACTGGAGGGAAAATGCTTCCTTCAACTCATCCCAGCTTGAGATAGAGTTTGGCTTCAGCGTCCGAAACCATCTTTGAGCAGAGTCCGTTAAATGGTTCCGGAAGGCTCGGCACATAATCGTCTCGGCATACCCATGTAAGAGCATGTGCCCTGCGTACATCTCTAAGTGATCGTCGGAATCCCCTCGACCATCATATGGTGGGATCGACGGTGACCTGTATTTATCGGGGAGAGGTGGCACCATTATTTCTGCGGTAAATGGATGGTCGTGTGTGCGACTAGGCGTGATGTCGAGGTTTACCACCTCGGCCACTCGCCCTATGTTTTTTTTTAGGCCGGCGACGTTGCTCGTGAGTTTTTACTCTAGGTTGGCCATACGTTCCATAATGGCGCGCGCATCTTCTGCCGAGATGGCTGAGCTAGCTACTCTCGATGCCTCTGCCCTTTGGACGTTGGGTCCGCCCCTTGCCTACCCGCCTGCCTGTACTGACCCTCAGTCTCCCGGTGGGTTTCGTCTTGGGTTCTGGGGTAGTACCTCGGGGTTCCCCAGGCCTCTCGCTATCTGGTCCTCGGGAGCCCGGAGCTCGACGGCCCTTAGACGGCTGCCGGAGGATTGGGAAGGTCGAGGCCTAGGATGGCCTCTAGGATTTTCACTGTCCCCGATTCCTTCTAGGTCATGTTGCCGGGGTTGTGGTTTTCAGCCATGGCAGCTCCCAGCGGCCTCGGGGCGTCTTCTAGAGGCGGCATAGAGTTCCTTCCGTCCAAGCACTCGACTACGGCCATTAGTCCCCGTACCAGGTCGGTTAGAGTGGTTAGTTGGACCTGCATCTACATAGGGTCCGGCCATGGCACGTCTAGGGGCAGGACTTCATTTCTGACCGGAGGTGGACCTTCCTCCATCCCGTCATTCACCAGATGTGTGGCAATTTTGTCCATTTGGTTGCCTTAGTTGATGGCCTCAATCCTTCTTCTTGGAGGCATGCTTGTTGACTATGTTGTTGTTGGGGTTCAAACGCATGAACCAGAGATTCTAGGTTCGGTCCCCAACGGAGTCACCAATTGTTGACGATGAAAACTCGTCAACAGAAATAGGCCGGGTCACCTCTAGGTATCTCGTTGGATTACCGGCTTGATATTGACTATATACTCAGTTTATGCAATGAAGTGTTTGTCCTATTTTCTGAGTGGTGAGCAATATGAGAAAAATATGCTTGAAGTAGAAGAACACACAAAATTTATAGTGGTTCACTCTGTTAATGAATAGCTACATCCACTGTAGTTTTATATTCCTTTTGAGATTGTTACAATTTACATCAATCTGTTGCTCTCTCCTTTTTTCTCTCTCAGGAAGCGAACCCTTTGGCGTATGGGGCTTTGCCCTTTTTATATCCAAGCTTCCTTTGTGGATGGTTTTCCTTCGTAGGAAGAAGTACTCGAGTGACCTACTTTCTAGGCTAAGATCGTAGCCCACTAATCACTTTTGGACTGTTCACTCAGCCGTTGGGTCTTCTATTACAGCTTTGTTTGACTTCCTGTAATCTATTGCTTCCCACCGCAGGGAGGTTTAAGGGTTTATAATTAATGCTTGCACTGCAGTCACCTTGGAGGTCCCACGCTTATACGGTCGACGCTGTCCTGTTGCGGCGGAGTCCAGGCACAGACCACAACCTGGCCGACTTTAGCTAAATCACCTTCCCCAACGAGCCGTATAGACGTCGAGGGTTAATGGGGTCGGCGGCCTAAACGGTCGACGCCTACGTCCATGCAGCCCCTGTGGGGCCACGTGGCGTGCCCTTGTTGGCTGACGTGTCCAAACGTATTTTCTGGTACAACAAAGTTTTCCCTGTTATCATCCCCGCTGAATTTGCCTCTTCCTCGTATATGTTCAGTAAATTATGGGGGTATTACAATCAGCCGGAGATTGTTGCAATGGTAATAACTAGCATTATTCTTTTTACTCTATGTTATCTTCTTCCAGATCACCTTTCGACAGCCTATTACTGCCGGGCAATGATCTAGTTTCCGGAGCAAAACGAACAACTTTGAAGGAATTAGAGATGGTTTGATGAGTGTTAGGATTGTTCGACGCTTCGTCACAAAATGCTAGCGTAATATACTTATTTCTACTAAAATTGTATTCATAGAAAAATTATTTATTTGTCTTTGAAATGAGAGTCGCATACCACTAACGTGATACTTAACATTTAAAATTTAATTGAGTGGGCAGAAAAGGGGTACGCGTGTCAACGGTGAATTGTTCAAGAGAAAAATTTGCTATTTTAAACTTTACGGAGCATTTTGTTAGAAGGCTAATAGTTTAGAGGGGACAAGTGTAATTTGTCTAAAAATTAATTTTTTTTAATTTTTTAATTTTTATATTCAAGTGTTTCATATTATTTTAGAAATGATCTCTCATCCGGCATAGAGAAATTGCCTGATCAGCCAGCTCAATTAATGTGACCATCGGATTGAAATTTGGGCGGCGTAGATGAAAAT